GGCTGGAGCCCGGTGCTCTGAAAATGTGAGTGACAGCGGAGTCGGGGCGGGGCGGGGCGACTGTGCGGTGGGGGCGGTGGCGCTGCGGAGGCCCCGGTACTGACCATGGAGCCGGGACTCCGCTAGGTCACCCGGCAAAGGAGAACAGAGGTCGTAGGTGGGTTAAGTGTGCGAGCCGGCTGACCTGGAGACAGAAAGGCCTCCTGGGGTCTCCTGGCCCTGTCGTCACCGGGTCTGCAGAAGTGGGCAAGGGAGGCAGAAGAGTCCGAGCCAGCTGGTATGTGCGAAGGGCGCACGTGGCAAGGCTGCCTTTGGGATGGAAGGAGGGGCTGTGAGCCTGAGAGGTGGCTGGGAAGCTGGACAGGTGGGACCAGGCTGCCCTGGAGCCTCTGCCAGGGAGACCTGCGAGGGGTCTGAGACAGACCTCTGTGTTGTTCTAAGTTGCTCAGGGTCATCATGTGTTGCAGCAGCCAAAGGAGACGTACAGAGCTTTGCAGTATTTATCAACTTTTTTGAAATGAAGAGACCAGTGAGAAGAATGGATGTGCTGAGCTTAGCGGAGATGCTGACGCCAAGGGACCTAGTGAGGGCCTCCTGTCAGGACATGCGTGCTGCGACCTGGCTCGTGACGTGCTCTCTGGGCCAGAGCACGTGGGGAGCAGACGCGATGGCCGAGGATGGTGACAGCAGCCTCTCAGGACATTCTTGGGCTGCTCTGAACGTCCCCCTGGTCCTTGTCTCCTGGCTGACCCAGCAGTCACCTCTTCCACCTGCTGCTTAGGACTTGCTCTCAGACCTGTGAGGGCGTCATCAGCCTCTCCGAGGTCCCCTGCCCTGGAGGCTCTGCTGGGCCGGGCCCACTCCGGCTCCTGCCTGCACTGTCAGTTGCCTGCTGCTTGCACTCTGCAGCTGTGGGCTATTCCCAGCCTAGTGGCACGCTCCCAGTGCCACTCCTCGTCAAACGCAGGCGACTTGTCTAGGACTGGCTCTGCAAATGGCCTTTCTTAGTGCAGTCAACGTCCGGGCAAGTGGGCAGGGGCTTCCCGAGGACCCGGGAAGGAAGGCCTCCCACACGGCACCAGGGAGGAGCTGTGCGGTAAATGCCATTAAACGAGAGCAGAGCTAAACAGACCGGGTGAGAAACTGAGCAAAGCCAGAGTCAGTTGGGCGGCACAGCAGCAAGACGCCTCGCGAGTGATGCTGGGTCCGCATGGAAGGTTGCGGGTTCGGTTCCCTGGGGGATGTGTACACTTTGGGTGCAAGCAGTCGATACTTCCCTGGGCGGGAAGGCTGGGTGGCAGGGAGGTCGCAGCATGAGGCCACATGAGGGTGCCTGTTTCTTTCTGTGTCTCTCACTCTCAAGAAAGAAAGAAACTTAGAAGAAGCAATTCCTGGATAGTGAGGAGCCACCATATTTAAACACTGGATTTCGGAGCAGTTTTTAATTTTTTTAAAGGAAGTATTTATTTAACTTTATTTATTTTAATTTGACCAGAGAGGGACAGAGTGAGAAAGAGAGAGAGAGAGAGAGAGAGAGAGAGGGAGAGTCCAGCACTCTTAACCACCATGCCACCTGCCAGCCCCCAGTTTGTAATTTTTTTTTTTTTTAAAGAGAGAGTTTTGCTATAGGGTGCATGTGCTCTCTGGAGAGACAGAGACAGAAAGCAAGAAATCCCCTCCTGACGACTGGCTATGCTGCAAACAGAGACAGAAAGCAAGAAATCACCTCCCGACGACTGGCTATGCTGCAATTCCCTTCTCCTCCATCCTCCTCTCGGGTGCTTGGGTAGGCACGCACACTCAGCCAGCATGAGTTTTAAGCTGCCGGGTACGGGACTCGAAGTCGACTGTGTGGGAGTCCAGCTATGTAACCATTACCCCATCTTCCACATCTGCTCATCCCTCGGCACGGACGAGCCCAGGGACGTCTGGTCGCTGTACGAGGGTGGCACTTGTGAACCTGGGTGGGACAGACACAGCGAGCCTTGGGCCCCAGGAGCTCTGAGGTCTGAACACTGCACCCCACAGCACAGCAAATATACTTGTCTTAGTGCTCTTATTAAGAAATTTGAGCTTGGGAACCAGCAGTTAGTGTAATGGCTATGTCGCTGGACTCCCACGTAGTCGACAGCGGTTCGCGTCCCAGACCCGGTGGCTTAAAACTCACGCTGGGCGC